ATTTTTGACCCATTTTAAGCATGTTGGGCTAAGTTTGGGTCAAACTTGGGCTAGCCATGGGCTAAGTCTGAATTGATTGTTGTGTTTGGTGTAAAAAAGTGAATTTTATTTATATTGGTATTAAAGATACTGAATTTTGGTTTGGAATTTAAATTGGGCAAGATTTGGGTCAATTGGGCAAAGATTGGGGCTAATTTGGGGAAATTGGGCCCTTAAAGGTAATTTGGGGCTTTATGTCAACTTAGGTAAAATTGGTCAAATTGGGTCAATGTGGTGGTTAAAAATTTAAATTTGGGAATATTTTGGATTTATTGGAATTTTTGGGAATTTTTGGAATTTTTGGATTTTTGGGCCATGGAGGGGCATTTTGGTAATTTGGCCATTTTTGGAAATTTTTTGTCAGTTTTGGCAAATTTGGATTTATTCAAAGTGTTCGGAATGAGTTTTGATCAGTTTTGGCTATTTTGGCAAAATTTGGGAATTTTGGCCAAATTTGGGTCCCAATGGAAGTTAGGTAATTTGGAGGTGCCTAGGGGCAAAAGGCCAAGTTGGGCATTTCAAGTGCAATTGGGTAGAGAACCATTTTGAATGAGTCATGGACCAATGAAATCTCCATTTTGGGTCCCCATGTATTGGTCTTAGCTAGGGTATTGTGACGGTATGGTGAGGGTATGGTGTACCTTAGCTCCAAATCAACACCTAGGGTCAATCTTAAGGTCAAGTAGCCCTACAGGAACTCTCCTTGAGTTCCCTCATAATGATCTTACCTACTAAGTGCTAGAGGTTAGGACCAATATGTGGAACTTGAAGTTGAGTAAAGAGAAGAGTTTTGAGTTTCTAATGGTGAGGGTACCTTTTCTAATTTTCTAAGACTAGTCAGTAGGAAAGTCTTATGGCTAGACCTAGGCTACTAAGGAAAGTTCTAGACCTCAACCAAAAGTACTTCTTTCACCATTTGTTTCTTCTGGATCACTTGCTTGGCCAACTTATCTCCCTCCCGTCGAATTCCTCCTTCTAGCCTCTTCGAACCGACCAGCCGACCTTCTTCCTCCAGCCACTTTGCCACCACTACTCCGCCCTCATCCCCCGATTTCTTCTTTATTACAGGTCGACTACTCTCTAGTTTTTTTTTCTCCCCTATGTCCTTGGGAAGGAAAAGTTTTTTTGGTTGAAAGTCCACAAAGGCCTTCAACATGGTCACCTCATTTACAGATTTTTTACTGCTTACAAGAACTCTTTGCTATTTAAAACCGGCTAAAGGGCAGGAAATTAAAAAAGTGTAATGCGGAATTGCTGGTCACATTTTATTTATAAATTTTGCAGGCACAAGAATTTAGGAGGTTTAATTATTAAAATTACTTATTACGCATTAAATGAGTCAATTTTTGCATTTAATTCTATCAATCTTATTTTAGTTGTCACTTTAAAGAAGTAAGAGAATCATGAAACTAAATATGTACATAAAAAATATGACTACATGAATCTTGAGTAAATTTAATGGGTCTCGCTTATGAACACCAAAGGACTGCATTTGTATAGTCAAAAGAAAAAAAAAAAATGCTAATAGACGTTTCCTTCAGTTGGAACTATGTGCCGATCAAACAGAAGCACAACCAAACAAAAAAAAATGGGCACCACCAAATCAGTGGGACTGTTATTCATAACCTGCTCCCTCAATTGATTCTAAAACTCTTCACAAAAATGGCCAAAGGATGCCCACATATAACTTTTCTAATCCTTTGAGAAGACCCCTTGTCCAAAAAGAGCTGCTCGTTGGATTGCAATGATATACCATCTGTCTGACGGTCTACTCGTTGGATTGCAATGATATACCATCTGTCTGACGATAGCTCTACCTTATGACAGGAGGGCCTCTTCTTAGGATTTCATTTAGAGGGTCGACCGACGACCATTCAACTGATCGAATGTTTGTCAGCTGACCAAAGCTTTCAGTTGACCGATCGACAAAGGAAAAAAAAAATCATTAGTTGCATCTTTTCAAGCAATTAGGGAAACAAAACGATGACAATGTCAACTATGAAGGTTACAAATATGAAAAGGTGCAATAATTATTTATAATATTTTTATTAAAATAAGAACAAATATGTAATTTTACTAAATACCACTAAAACCTATAAATAGAGGATCATTTCTTCAATAAATGACTACTAAATTTAATTTCTCAAAACTAAAGTTATTGTGCTCTTAATTGCTCTCCTAGTTTCTCTCTTTCTCTGTTTCTCTCATCCGCCCAACGCTCTATACACTGAGTATGATCCGCACGACATATTTGGATTCAACATCTCTATTATATTCTATTATAATAAGAGTAATTTTGCACTAAACAATTATGTAAATTTACCTTCTTGCCTTAAAAACTATATTTTATATAGCTATTACAAGAGAATATAAATGTGTATTTAACAAAAAAAAAAAAATTATTAGGTGCGGATTCTGTATGTATTAATTGTTTTCAATTATCACACCTAATAATTGCTCATAAGTGATATTAAGAAAAAAATTTCAATAATTTAGATCATAAATGAATAAATAAAGCCAACTTCTGACTGAGCTATTCGAAAAAATATTAGGTTGGGAGTCCAGACGCTTTACACTACAGTTGAAAGTCCCGTTGCGAGTCGTTTGGCTGAACCCAAAAGCTTTAAAACCCATGTCTTCCGCAAGACCTATCCATGGCGACTGCCGAAGCGCATCTTCTCCGGCTGGCAGTAAGCTGTCGGAAACTAACGGCACACGTCACTGCCGGCGCGACTGATGCAATTATCGCGATGGCTTCTTCAGGCGAACAGGAATTCGCCGCTGCTAACCGGTACAGGCTATACCGCTACCCTCGCTCCCGACGATTCTGGGACGAACGCGTCGCTGCTCGCTTAGGAGAGAAACTAGCCGTCCGCCTCCGCCAGATTGGCATCTCAGATGTCCAACTCCACCTCGAAGACGGTGACCGAGAACGCCTCTCTTTGACTCACCATTACCGCCGGTCAATTGCTTCCCTGTTTCACTCTGTGGAGCGGGCTGGCATCCGTGTTGATGGTGCTGACGAGCTCCGATGCGATCGTGATCCTCAGGCTGGGTAAGGGTTTTTGCTTGTTAGGGATTTTATTCGGGCCTGCATTGGGGTCTCAGAATTGGGTGTTTTTTGGATTTAGTTGTGTGATATGATTTTGTGTGAATAATTCAATAGTTTAGTAAATATGGAAGCTTAATTGTTGTTATTAGATTACTAAAAAGTTTGGGATGCGATATAGAAAACGTCAATTTTTTTCCTTTTTAAAATTTTTTGGTTAATGCATTTATCATATTGCCCACTCAACTAAAAGTGTCATGAGCTGGAGTTGCTATTACAATAAGCAGCTTCTTTTTTTTAACTGCGTTTCCATTTATCCAATTCGACATACCTTTGTTAGTTGGATAATCTTTTACCTTGAATTCGTTAGATTTTTTAAGGAACATTTAAGATTTTGTGGTGGTCATTACAATAATGAACTTTGTCTAAAAGAAGCAACATTGCTCAATATTGCTTTGATGTTATAATCCTTTTGATTATACAAGATTTAGGTTGATGCAAAATCAGAAAAGGCATAAATGTGGAAAGAGTAATATATTCAATATTTAAATTTGTGTAGATTGTATCACTTTTTTTTTTCTTATAAAAGTTCATTATCCGCTCTTATTTTATTTCACAAGAAAAAATATAAGCCCGAGAAAGAGGTCCCAACACACACCCTACAAACTCAAAAACTAACCAATATCTTTTAAAGCTGCCAGCAACAGATTGTGAGGAACAATCTTAGAAACCATAGCACCATTCAACTTCAATCCATATTTAGCTGCCCAATGAGCAACCTTGTTACCTTCTCGCTTAGTTTGAGACTACTGGATGATCAAATGCTTGGATAAAACAATAATCCATCTCATCTGCATATTGATACTCCAATGATAATCAATCTGCAATTGACAATACTTACATAAAATCAAAGAATCAGTTTCCATAATAAGATATTTCCAACCATAACAAATAGCCACCTGAAGACCAAAAACTAACGCATCAACTTCAACAACTAGAGGAGAATCGGAAAACACACCTGTGGAGAACCTTTGCCTTCCCACAAAGACTTGTTAAAAATATTATCAATCTTCGTAATAACATTCAAAGGCATATTCATAACTTGAAGAGTATAAAGAGGGAGAGAAGTAAGAACACTTTTAAGAAGAGTTACCCTCGCACTAAATGAAAGAAACTTATTTTCCCATGATAAAATCTTATTCTTGATTTTATCAAACAAACTCAAAAAAAGAGCACTTCTCTTCTTACCCTTATCCATATAAAAACCCAGATAAGTCAAAAGTAAAGTAGCTTTATTACAACCAGTAAAATCCATAATCAAATTCCTTTTAGAAACATTGATATTTTTAGAACAATAGAAAAAAACATTTAGAAGCATTAAAGAGCAATCTAGAAATATTCTGAAAATTTAAAATTTCTTGTCAAACTCTTTTAATGGAATGTTTATTAGCATTGTTAAAGATAATCAAGTCGTCAGAAAAACACAAATGCGAAATACACAATTTGCCTTTATGATTATAATTCAAACTAGGATATCTAGTAAATAAACCATTCAAACATCTAGATAAATAATCAAAAGCAATAATAAAGAGATAAGGAGATAGCGGATCTCCCTGCTTGATACTCTTTGAAGCTTTGAAAAAATCATGTTTAGTACCATTAATAAGAAGAGAATAAAAGTTGTCATTGAGTAATTTATAAATTAGCTTACAAAAAACATTATTAAAACACATAGCTTTAAGGATATCAATAATGAATTCTCAACGAATAGTGTCAATAGCTTTTTAAATGTCCATTTTGAAGATGACATTTCCTCTGTTTTTTTTATCAATATCCAAGAGAAGCTCTTGTACTATAAGAGCATTATCACAGATATTCCTGCCTTTCAAAAAGGCAGATTGATTCATGCTAATAATATCATTAAGAATTGGTTGCAATCTTTTGACCAAAATTTTTGATATAACCTTAGAACATTATTCAAACTAATAGGTCGAAAAACATCTCAAGTATTAGCATCATGCACCTTGGGAATCAACACAATATTAAAGGATTTAAAATATCTCGGCAATTCATTTCCTCTAAAAAAGTCTTAAATAGTATCAACAACTTCAGCATGAATAATGTCCCACCCATGTTTATAAAACTCAGCTGTGAAATCATCCGAACCAGCAACTTTACCCGTTTCCGTAAGATCAATAATTTCTTTAATTTCAACACTAGTAGGAATGCTGGTAAACAAAACATTATTAATAGTAACATCTCTATTATAAAGATTCCTGGTGAGGGAATCACAATTGCTTTGGAAAACATTAGAAAAATAATGAATATCATTATTAGCAATATCATTAAGATTATGGAAAAAAATACCATCCGTACCAACAATCCTTGAAATCAAATTAGCATTTTGAGGACTCTTAATACTGGCATGAAAGTAGGCCGTATTTCTGTCTTCATCCAAGAAATGAGTCTTAACAACTTTTTGAGCATAAAATTTTTTTCCATATTAATAGCATTAGTCAACTTGTAAAAATTAATAGAGTTGGTGATAGAATTATAGTCCTTAAGATTATCATTGATACTAAGATTTTTAATATTATAAGTGTTTATGCTCCTCAAGTAGGTTTAGATACAGGGTTTAAAGATAAATTTTGGAATGACTTAGAAGACTTAATACAAATGATACCTCTTGAAGAAAGAATTTTTATTGGAGGAGATTTAAATGGACATGTCGGTAAAGTAGTAGAAGATTTTATAAATATTCATGGTGACTACGGTTTTGAAGTGATTAATGAAAAAGGTAGAGTTATATTAGATTTTGCTTTAACCTGTGATTTTGTTATTGCTAATACTTCATTCAAGTAAAGAGATAAGCATATTATTATTTATAAGAATGGATCTAACAAAACACAAATTGATTATTTTCTTATGAGAAGAAGAGATCGTCGTGATTGTAATGATTGTAAAGTCATTCCAAGTGAAAATTTAAATACCCAACATCGTTTATTAGTTTTAGATTTTAAGATTAAGAGTT